TATAGTATTACCAACGTCATTCGTTTTATATATGTTTATTCTATAATATGGAAAAATATATTTGTGCCAAATATGCTCAATTTAATCCTCATTGATGTTTTTAAAAAGTTTTCTTATAAAATGTATGTCTTACAGTAAGTGTTGGCCGCAAACACGATTTTATTCTTTTATGAAATAGTTGAGCATCGAACATTTAGAAGGGAGTAAGCTTTAAAATTCATATCATGATTTTGTTAATCTTCATATATTCTTGAATAGTATTAAATATCGATTTGAATTATTGTTATTCAGTAAAACAATAAATTATGGTTATTCAGCACATTTCCCGTGCGACACGAAGTTTATATGCACTTTAATATAATATTATCTTGTTCCTTTATTTAACTTCTTTACACATAGTACTAAAGTGAAGCTTAAAATAAACTAACAATAAAAGTGTGAAAAATAGTTCACCACCGGCTGCAAAATCAATTATTAATCTTATTAATATTATCATTGTTTTTATTATATTAACCACAAATATGTTGATAATTGAAATTATCTAAAGTATGTTTTTGATTATTAAAATTAGTAACTCATTATCTCCCAAATGCTTGACGTATTTCTAAAACACAATCATTCACTTTTATTTTCCTAGCGTTGTTTCACTCAGTTTAAATGTGAAAGAAAGAGCACGATTTACTAAAGAAGTAATTTATTTCTTAAGATCTTATAGTAATTATTTATTTCATTGTGCAGTTTAAAGTTTTTATTTTTTATTTAAAACTCTTTTATTGTTTTAAAAGGCAATTTCTTGCTAGTGTTATTTACTACTATGTACTTTACCTATTCGTAGTTAAGCTTTCGAAATATTCTAGATATATAATCCAACCCATCGTTATATGTGCCGAATATTGTAATTATTTATTAGTGTCAAATGTTATAAGACTGCAGATAATATTATGTTCTCACTTTTTTTTTTATTATGAATCAGAATTTTATCGTCTTTAAATTCATCTAGATTAAATATTACGTTGTTAATATTGTTATAAATTTTATTAATATTTCTATAGTGTTTATTATTTGATAATTATCAACGATTACTCTCAAAGTCAATTGAACACGATACAAGTTTGTATGAAACTTTGTAAATGCTCAATATGTTTAGGTTTTTACACGCACATTTCCTCGTGAATTTATTCCATCGCCCCTAAGATATAGCTTAAGTAAAGTCGACTGTTTTATTCTAGACAACATAAATATCCGCCAATATTTGTCTATTTCGTGGACAAAATTATATATTTGTTTTCTTAGGTATGTAAATTTTAATTTTAAATACTTTTCCTATTACCAAATAATCATTTAAGACGTAAAATATGTTTGTTACATTAAGAAATTGTATACGTTTATTTGTTTGTCTGTTGTTACTGTGTCAGGGAAAGAGATGGATCTTATGATCTTAATAGCGATACATCACAACACATCTCACTTAAAGTAAGATGATTGTCTTATGTCTATAATATGATAGTCGGTCTGGAGAAAAAGTTTTGTAGGTCTGATTCTATTTAGTACTTTTGATGTGGTGATTATTGTTTTCTGTGTTATTATTTGATGTTACTATTACTTAAATATTATGTTACTCGTTGGGTGATATAGGGTCATCGATGAGGTCATAAATTACGACCAAACTCCGGGGTTTGTGAAGTCTTTTAACCTGATGTTACCGGCAAAGGTCGAGCGAGCGCAGTATGTACGGGAGATAGGTCCTCAATGAAACTCTTTTCATATCATGAAATATTAAGCGTTACCAATAGATCATTTTCATTCCCCCCCTCCTCCTCCCACTGGCCGCGGTGTTCAATTGAAACTGGAAGTAATAATGTACGGCGTCAGCGTGCGGAAGCAATTTTAGACTATTAGATGTAAGAGGTCGGCTCCTCACTAGTTAGTGCAATAATCGTTTATAAATAATTATTTATATGTAATGAAAATCTTAGATTTTAAGTACTTCGACTTTTCGATTGAAATTGTACAACCCGTATAGACTGTAATGTCGTTATTGATTTATGTCGTCGCGTTTAAATATTGTTTCTCAAATGTTTCGAATGTTACTTCCTTATTGAATTTATATGTAAGTGTACGGTAATCCTGCAATACACTACCCACCTTAATGCGGGGGCTAGTTATCAATAAATAAATATAAATTATATTGCATTTTATTCGAATATCGTTTTTTGTACCTAAAGTTTATAAGCTGCCAGGAAGTAAGACGTAAGTGTAAATACTATTAAACGCCTTGTTACTTTTTAATTTGTTAATTAATTTATGTTTTCAGTTTGTTCTAGTTTACACATGCCTAGATGTATTACACATGTTCATTTTATGTCTTTACAAACTTATTTTATTTGTTTTTATTGTTATATTTTTGAATGTTGCATGATGTTTATATTAAGTTATCGTGTTATTTATTTTTTAATTTATTTTATAAATTAATGTTTTAACGCCCTCGTCAATTTGTAAATAACTACATTTAATTGGAAATTAAATAAGCCTTTTGAGTCTGCTTGCATAAAAAAGAATTGTCAAGTTGACGTGGGCTGTCATGTTATTGTCAATATTTTGACATATGTGTTCACTTACAGAAGAGCTGTCGCCGGAGGATGACGAGCGAACAGTATCATCGGCGAGCCTGTGCATGTCGCCGGGGGCGGAGTCCGAGCGCGGTGTGGCGCCGCTCTGTTCCTCCACGCCCTTCGCCATGCGTCTCACCAACGGCTATGACGTTCTTGACAACCGCGAGCGAAGGCACGTTGACAGCTGTGACACTATCAATGGAAATGTCAACGGTAAGTAATGACACATAAAGATTGTCTGTTTTCGATAATAAAAAAATCAATTATGTTGTTTTTAAATTGTCTAGTGCACATAGTATCGGAGTCGACAAACAGTATGGACGTGCTAAGTGGGGGCGAGAGCGATGCTGGCGATACGCTTTCCAGGCGGAATAATAACAGGTATGATTTATATAAAGAAAAATAAAAAAGACAATAGGAATATTTATAAAATGTGTCGTCTGATGAGCTGAATAAATTTGAGTTGTGTATTGAGTAAGTTGTCACTTTGTACAGCATATCGTCTCGCACCGCGTACTGCGGCGAGGCGCAGCGGCGGCGCGGTGACGTCACATACTTTGTGGCCAAGGAGCTGCTCATGACAGAGCGCACATACAAACGCGATCTAGAACTCGTCACTGTTGTAAGTTATTTTTTTATTTATACTAGTGCTCAGTGGAGGGACCTAATTATTCATAATCTTTTTTTTTAATTATAAATAGTTTAGTACAAATGTTTCATCTTTGATATTTTTATTGACTTTATTACATGAATAGACGTGGTCCCGTCACGTGGGTCGCGTAGCGTGCGCGGGCGCGGAGGGCGCGGAGGCGAGCGCGCTGGCCCGCGGCTGCCTCGCGCTGGAGCCGCTGGCGCTGCCCGCTGGCGCGCTACTGGCACGCCTTGACCGCGCACTCGCCACCGCACCACACAGCAGAAACGGTAAAAACCTAATGTCACTTAGTTCCACACGATCTGACGTGTTACTGAAACACGAATTGTCCTTGAATCAACATTGCAAATATTTTTAAAATAAATAAAATTTGCACCTTCAATATATCAATGTATTTATTTTCAAAGAGTTCCAAACAAGTTTCGAGTGTCTGCTGACCACATTTATGCCGCCTTACTATGATGGTACACATTTATAAATCTTGTATTAGCGCTGTAGAAGCTATTTTATGTTGATTAAGTAGTTATTATGTGTCAATATTTGTAATATAATATAAAAAGGTATTTTTGTTATATGTAATGTCTGATACTTAATGTCGTAGGTAAAATATCGAAGTATCCAACCTTTTATTGTTTAAATTGTACTGATTATGCTAGAGTTCAATAACCTAGTAGATTTATTCACCTAGATGTCGAGTGGGTAACGTAGATTTTGTATAACTTTTTCGTATGTAACTTATTTTGCTTGTTTACTGTAGTTTTGAGGTAAATTAAATTTTTTTTAATAGACTTTGATTATTATCCCAGATAACGAGGAACCGGAATATAAGAAGATAGCAGATATGCTACACGATTATCTGACCAATATATACGATGTAAGCCATTTTTCATTTTATACATGTGAATATTCCCTTATTTATGTATATGCAAAATACTTTTTAGTAC